TGCTGGGACTTCCTCTTGCATCACAGATGCAATGAAAAGCAGAGAAACAAGATGGCTTCTGCTCTCAACTGATGTTAAAGACAAACTGTTGCAAAGAACATCACTTACGAAAAAATAAACTTATGTTTATAATGCAAGAATCCCTCACAGTTAATGCTGCTATTTCACGTTTCCCCAGTGCAATGAAAAAGAGGATGAACGCCTCTTACCTGGCTATAGGTCCAGCTCCACCGACGTTTTCTCTCAAGGCTGTTCACTGCAGAGCAAGTCCTAGTTCTCCTGCATGCACAGCCTGCACAGCACTGTCTTCTGTATCAGAAGTTGTCCTGTGCTGCAAGGAGCTCTTTCAAAGTTGTCACACAAGAAGCTGTTTTGAAGGACTGTGCATGTGTACATGAGGCTTCAGTGAGCACCAAGTCAGGACCAGATAGGCACAGAACTGTTGATCTTGCCATGATCATAATTAGCAGGTCTTCACAGTGCTCTCTACCTGGGAAAGCTGTCCTCCTGGTGGCCATCTCCACAGCTTCTGCATGATGTTTGCATACCAGTATGAACTCTGGTTTTCCAAAACATCTTGCTGCCCTCTCATCTGAACTTGACTAATAAGCTCCGTTGCCCACCTAGTAAAACCCTTTAAGCAGTCTCTTCCAAGAGTTTTTGAGTGGAGTCACAAAGGAAGTGGGGTATGGAAGAAACACAGAACGAAGGGGAAAAGCCCCATGTGGACATAAGCCAGCCAATATGTCATCATATGGGGTGGGGGAAAGGAAGAGAGAGAAGTTAGAGCACACGTGCCTAGGGACCTACAGGATGATATAACAGCACTATCAAAATCCAAGCCCAACTGTCCAGGCATTAAATACATCCTAGCTGCAAAGAAGATAGATCAAGCCCGAACAAAGCAAAAGGGCATTGTCACACTTCACAACCACAGACGCAAACCCCATCAAAGCACACACAACACGAGGCTACTCTGAGAAGACTGTAACTGAGATTGGGCTCATAACAAGACAAGAAATAAGGATGAGCCCAAAGGTAGGCACAGTGATACACATTCATGCATAATCTGCAACTCACTAACCTGTTTAGTCCGTAATTAAGCCCATCACGCCCTTAACATCCCTCTTTTCCCCACAGCTCATAAATACTTACCCTGCATGTGACTATTCCAGTACTTTTGTTAGATGTGCAACATTTTAATAAACAACCAGAATCAAACTATACCTACTAAAACACAGCATTTTTGTGAAGCCCTGACCGTTGCTTTAACTTTTTACAGTTAGTTTCTCATCAATCAAAAAAAAAAAAATTGGATAATGAGCATGTGATACATCCATGTAAACTGGAGGTTTTATGTCAGTGTGCATGTAACAGGACAGCTCTAGGCAAAGGAGGATGCACAGAAAATATACATCAGGTGCAGAAACAATTAAAGCACCACACAATCCTGATTTTGCAAATGAGAACAGCAGCTCTCTAACAGTTAAAAGCACATTCCCACTTCAGATAATGGGCATTTTGCCACTGGCTTTGGGAGAACCAGGACCCTACTCCAGAGTTTAATCAAGATCTTATTGAAGTCAGTGGAAAAGTCTCACAAGAAAACAGTGGACTGCCCCATCACTTTTCAGAGCAGCACTGTTCTTTATAATATTAGCTACTCCTGAAATGAAAATTTTGGCAAAAGTTGCTGATAACTAGCTCTGCTGCTTTTATTACTGATGCAGTTATAGATCCCCTTTAATTGCACTTTTCAGTATAATTTTACACCAGAGACTGTGTGTATGTGCGTGCATGTCTGTGTGTGCATGAGATAGATGGCAACCCCTTTTTTAAGCATGGCACATGAAAAGATGCTATTTAAAATAAGATTTGAACAAAACTATTTCAGACACCAGTGCAAAAAGATACTTGTTTACTTTAACTTCAGCATGGCTTCTCATGCAATTAATCATTCATATGGAATATCTGACACAGAGATAATATGCTACACACTGCCTTTATAAATATGGGTTTATGTCAGACATAAGGACCTTCACAGCTGCCAAGCAGCAAGTGCAACACAAGTCATGTGGGCTGCACAGCCGTAGAGCAGATTAACATAAATATCTTTTCAGAGGAGAAGGAAAAATGTAAGAGTCATCCATTGTAAATGAGGAATTAAGCCCTACTAGTCCTTCCTTCTCCCACCTGAACACCTCCTACACCTTGGCGAATGGTGAGCCAGGAAATAAAATGAAAGAATGATACTGTCTTCAGTGTAGAAAACACATAGGAAAATAAATACCAACACTGCCACTGCAGCACAGAAAATGAAATATCCTTACCCAGCTTTCCATTATTCCAGGAGGACAGAACCCAAATGAAGCCATACATCACTCACTTTACGGAACTACGTGTCTGCATCCACAAGATGCAAAGTGGAAGTAATGGCAATGGTATGCTCCAACTTGCTGATTTCTCCACACTTGACAAACGAAACCAGACAAGGGCAACAGCATGCGGTCAAGAGTGAGCTCAGTAAAATGCAGAGAACAATTTACTGATTCATCACAATCCTGTTTGCAAAAGCAGAATGTATGCGTCCTTCTGTGAGTTCCTTTTTTTTCCCAATGTCAGGAATAACTTGCCGTACTTGTCATGAGGCTTTAATTAGGCACCTAGACACATCCTCTGAGCAAGGGAGACGGTATATAGCTGAATATGCTCCAGTGCACAACCCAGACACCAAGAAGTTTCTAAATCTTTAGACAGAAAAGGCAGCATACACCTGGTCAAGCCATAGTTTGAGGACTGCAAAAGCAGACAGTCTACAACCCAGCTGCAGCACACACATGGGAATCTGCACACCTCTTCACTCCTAACATATACCCATAACAGGATAGTCTGGCTGACAGAGGTAAATGGGATATGGGGAACGGGTAGGAGAGACCACAAAGACCACAACCATGATGTACAATCAGTGCAAGAAAAAGCACTTTTCCTTCAGTTTTTTCCCTCTCACCCTACTTTGATAACGTATTACCAAAATGTTCCTTTTCCAGTCCTAAAATCTACCCTTCCAATGGCTGTCACATTAGCATGCCAGAGGTATAATTAGGATTTATAGCAGTGCTGTACAAGAATTCTCTGCTGTGGGTGAAAAAGCTAGAAGAAACGTGCAAAGTTAATCCTCTTCTAAGTACTCCAGAAATCTGCATGCTAATGCAGTATCACAATAATTAGGACTACAAAGTAATTAAACTGTGCAAACGCCTGCAAGAGAGCAAAATTTGCACACTTGGAACATGCTTTCACTGAAAGCATGTGAGTAGCCCTGCTGAAGGACTGCAATCCTGATGTTCTGCCAGTACTAAAAATGTCAGTATAGGCAAAGTCTTTGTCTTTTCTAAGCACAGAAGCACAGAAAAGTAGGGTTGGCAAGGGCTTCACGACATCACTTAGCCTCTCTGTTGCAAGGCAGGACTGACCCTACTTATGTCATTCCTGGCAGACCGTAGCCTAATCTCCTCTTAAAGGCCTCCAGTGGTGGAGACTCCACAACCTACCCAAGCAGTCAGAGACCTCTTTCTAGTATCTGACTTGACTCTTTCCTGCATCATTTTAAATCCATTATTCTTTACTCTTTGGCACACACAGCAATTTATTCCTCATACACCATTATTCATAGACAATTATAAGCTATTATCGTGTCCCTCTGACCCTGAAGAAAACTTATGTAGGCCAACCAACCCCATTCTTCCTTCAGAAGTGATGTTATCTAAATCTGTGATCACTCTCACTGCTCTTCCCTGAATTTCCTCCAACTGTTTGTTCTTGAGGTACAATGCCCAAACTGGACACTGTGTTCCAGCTGAAATCTTTCCAAAGCTGGGACTTGTCTTGCATGTTCTCCTGTTTAGTTACCCCAGTAAAATGTTAGTGTTTTCAAAACAGCTTGACATTAGTGACTAATGCTCAGACCATGATTCACAATAAGCTCCACATCGTTTTTCAAGGAACTACCAAACTGCAAAACGGTCTTATGGTTACAAAGGTGTTTTTCCTGCCTAAGTATACTTCTCTGCACTTTGCTCAGTGACAATCCATCCTGCTTTTACTAGAACATTTCTTCAACCCGTCAGCATAATTCGGAATTCTAGCCTTGTCGCCCAATGTTTTAGCAGTCCTTCCCATCTTCATGTCACGTAAAAATTTAACACTCATACTCTCTTTCACCACCACCATCATCAATAATGATGAAAACCAGACCAACCCTCCCCACACGTCAGTATATCTTTCCATTATAACGATGGACCATTGACGACTGCAACCTGGTATGGCAATCCAATCAGTTTTGCATAGACTCCTTAGTGGTTTCACTGAAGACATGTTTCCCTCGATTGTTTACGAAACTATTATACACACTAATGTCGAAAACCATGCTAGCAGTCAAGCTGTCTGGACTCTGTTGTGCCTTCTCTAGATAGGAGACTGGCTTCTCAGTTGTAGAAAGATATTTTCAAGTTTTTAAAAGTCACGCTGGCTGTTACTGAACTCCTTGGTCTCCTTCAGGTGCTTACACATAATTTGTTTGTTCTAGTTTTTCAAAGAACAAAATAATTTGCCTGTTATTCTCTTTTACCTGTTTATAAACATGATGTTTTTTCCTTCTCACTCTTCCAGTACTTGACCTGTCTTCCCTGAATTCTCAAAAGTAACTACAAATGCTTCTGAGATTGCTTTAGCCAATGCCTTAAGTATTCAAGAATATAGTTTATCAGGCACAGCTGATGTGAAAACACTGAATATGTCTGAATACATTCTGACCTGTTCTTGCCCTTTTTTAGCTAGTGATTTTACCCTCTGTCATAATACCGTAAGTGTGTGTGAGGGTGCATCTAGTATGACTCAAATGTGTCAGTGAGAGCAGTTCTGATCCCTGAGTTAAAATTTAATATAACTTCTTGTCCTCAGGTTAAGCTATAGATTCCTTTAAATCATAAAGCGCCTCATACCTTCGTTCATTGTCATCAAGATGAGCAAAGAGCACGTTCTTGGAGATGGCCTTTGCCAGAGCAGTCATAGTTTTATAGTCCTTTGGAATCACCTGTAGAGAAAAGAAGGAAGGGTAATTACATGCCTAGTTGTATTTCTTCATAGATCTTAAAATCTATAGAAAATTCCACTATTCAAGATAATGGATGCAGTTTTATTTCAAACACGGAAACAGGTTTAGGCTATAATATAAAGCCACTAAGAAAGTAATAAATTACAGTTTTGATAATGTGAGGATAAGAATTTATGTTCTCAATATGACAACCAGAAAAGAAATATAAGATCCAGGATGAGTGGAGAGAAGGATATCCGTAAAATACTATAATTAGCAGGTACTGGCGGCTGTGTAGTCTCCTTTCAAATCCCTTGGACTAAGGAAAACATATTTCATATTCTTCTTCCCCCACAAGCAATATCAGAAGCAATTAAATTAGGGGGAATGAGCAACATTTCTTTAGGTAAAAGGTAAACCGGTGTTGATTACACTTGCATTTGAGAATGAAGAGGCATTTTTATTTGTTAATTGGGGAGAAGGCAAAAGTCCTGTTGTACATGAATTTTCTCAGAATATATGTGAAATTCAGGAATATGTTTTGATATTGGGTGAAGTTTTTTTACAAGACTTTTGGAAGTTGGGCTTTTAATGCTTTGGTAAGCATTTTGATAAGATGTCTTTGTTAAGACACCGTATCTCTGTATTTGCCAGGCATCTACTTCTGATAGTCAGAGACTTTGTGATTACGAGAGACACAAGAACAAGGTTATGACTTGTAACAGATGTTCTTTGACTTTAGTAATGTGATTTTCCTTAATAGTTTCATTATAACGGGACAAAATCAAGCCTAGGAAAAGTCCTAAGTGTTAAATAAACCTTACTCCAATCTGAAGATCAACATCTGTTTGCCTGTTTTAATTATTGTACAAAAAAGGTCCGATAATGGACATTTATCGTTCACATTTTCTTACGATAGAAATAGTATCTCCTTCTTATTTAAGTTACTACGTATGGTGACGTGCAGGTAGTTTCCTTTCCTCATCCTGGAAAGGCAAGATACTGCCCACCCAACCAGAAGAAGGATGTCTCAAATGGGAAAATTGATGAAGAACCAGGTCTCACAAAGAATTGATCTAGATTTATTTCAAGGGAAGATACTGCACTGTGATGATCTAAAGTTAAACTCTGGCTTCAGACATCACTTATATTGACTGCTGTAGTCATTAGGCTACTCAAGTCTAGAGAAGCGTATATGTATAAACCGAATATCTGTATCAAGGTGAAATGTAATCTAATTTAACTAAAAGTTTAAAATCTTCTGTGTTAAATAAAATGACCATTTGGCCAGTACCTTATTCTTGATTTTTACCCTATCAAAAAAACCCTGGATTGAATTTCAGTCCTGAACCCTTGCTCTATTAAGAATACCCTAGCTGTTCAGCTTATTGCTGATGAGCCAAAAGGGTAGATAATCAAATCACTAAGACATTCAATTCCAACCCTTATGGCTAATTACGGAATAGCATAGACTAGCCTTTAGCAGTCTAAATATGCAGCAAGGAGAGCCACAAGGCAGAGACTGAAGTGGGTCTGCTGGGGCAGGGACACAGAAAACACAGAAGAGGTTCTTTAGGTGTCACAGTAACCAGGCATCCAACCAAAATCAAATGTCAGGAAGAATCACTTGACCATTTCTTATATCACTCTTGCAAGCAATCACTGAATGTTATTTTCAAGTCGATAATCCTCTTTACAGCAAGATTCCTATTCTGTTAGTTGTTATCTATATGTTATGTCAGATGTGCTGTCAAATCTTGCTTTCTTGTTTCAGGAATGAAGCAATGAAATAACCCTCCACAGAGATCTTCCTTTGTGCTCCTCAGAATGGAGCCATGCCAGGTGCTTGCTCAAATCACAAAGCTAAATCTCCTTTGATTTTCTCTCCAGTGACATAACTCATTGCACTGCCTTTAGCACTACTCATCCTATAGTTCACCCCTTCAAGGGATCCTTTAAATTGGCTTATGACCCAGATATGTTTCTATCCAACACCTGAATTCAAGCCAGTTGTTCTTCCTGGCTACTATCTGAAATCCATCTGTTTGCAATAGTCTAACACAACCCTTGCCTTGCTTTTTACACTTTAAATTAGTTTTATAAATTGTCCTTTCAGTATCTGCTTTTATTTCTGTATTCCAGAAATCTCTGTCACAAACACACATCCATGGGATTCATTTGCTAATCACAGAAGACAAAGCACTGACACAAACCCTCCCAGTGCTGTATTACTTGCAGCATCTGTAGCCTGACAAGAAACCATCCCCTAAATTATTATTATTTAAGCTCAGTCAGTTCCTAGGAAATTAAAATCGTAACAGCCCTATTCACAGAACACACAGCATATAATCTGTATTGCTTCTTCTGGCTCTTGCCTACCCATGCTACTGTCAGGGCTTATTAGCATCACTGTTGAAAAAGGAAGAAAACAAAGTTAACTCAGGTTCCATTATAAACATAAAAGAATTATGGGGGGGTGGGAAGGAATATTTCCTCTGATTTTCAGAAGAGTCAGATGGAGCCCATATTAAGCAGAAACAAATGTGATCTCTTCATGGAAGTTTTTAAGTGGGATATTGCAAACTGCACAGAAAGAAAAATGTTTGAAAGTGGCTTTTGAAATACCACATAAGTTTTCTAACAGTGCAGTGCATTAACAGTTAAAATTTACTGTGTACTTGCAAGCTTATTTAACTGCCACAAGAATACTTTTCCATACTTGTTTTTAGGATTAAAGGCTCTCTTAATTCTTTGTTTCTTGGGACAGAAATCCCCAGAACAGCCAGTGAACTTGTATCATAAGTGGATGACAAACACACATCTGACTGCAAAGGCAAAAAGTATTCTGCCAAAAACCAGTGCCTGACAAGATGTATTCCCATAAAGAAAAAGCTCTTTGGGTTAAAACTACTCCAGGCATGCACAAAAGCATATTAGTAGCATCTGTCAACCTTATGAAATGCATTTTTAGCCTAGCTCCCTAAATAAACTTGACATACGCTATTGTAATGTCTGTCTTTTAATAACCTTTGAAAGCTCTTTGGCCAGTTTAAAAAAAAAATTTGCAGAGTTATTAAGAGATATCAAGGATATAACATAGCGAGATGTTTTTGCGAAAAAGGCAGTTAAAAAACGAGAAGCCCAAATTAGTACTCCCACTGAAGAAATTACCTAATTCGGGATTGGCATTTCTTCAAAGACAATGGTCACATAAAATCGCCCAAGTATGGTCAACAGACTTCCGAAAACCCACGGATTAGGTGGTACCCAATCAACATGGGAACCATGTGCCTGAATGGTCTAGGGAACCTAAATGACCTAGGTTAGAAGAAAACTTGAGCTAGAAGTGACTTTTGGGGAAAAAAAAAGCAGGAAATGCTGCAATAGAAAAGGCTGCTTTCCAAAACTGTGAAGTTTTGACAAAACTCAGAAGCTGCCAGAGTCCGTGAATATCAAGAAAATGGCTGAGAATTACCCACCCAGTTAAAAGGGTAAACAGATTAGCAGCACATCTCAAAAAGGGGAGGAAAAGAGAATGCTGAAGCAACACTGATGGGGAAAGTACTTAGTCAAGGAGGGAGCAAAAGAACTTGAGTGTGAAGAAGATGGTCAAGCCATGCACATGCTGGCATAAGGACACCATCCTACAGGCTGACCTCGTTCCAAATTATGAGTAAAATATGAGTCACCTGATTGTCCTGTATATCTCAGAATCAGATAGATGGCAACACCTTACCTTTCTGACGTAAGAAACAGCATCTTCCTCCGTGTACACTTCTGCACTGACCCCCCCTCTCCTGCGTCGGGCTTTTACCACTGGGTTGGGAGGAGGAGGTGAAATCTCATCGTCATGAGAATCAGACTGGGAACTGGATTTCTGCCGAGCCAGTATTTGTTTGCATTCTTCCTGCAAGGCAAAGAGAGACAATGAAGCATCTCTTACCCGTGCAGCTAACTTGCTGGATATACTGGATTCACACTTCTTTTATGACTCTCAGCAAGCCCTTCACTTCTACATTTGGATGACTGTCAATTTACACATGTGTTCTGCTGATAGAAAATTAAAAGTTTAATGTGAGCAGCATGAAGGATTGATGCTGACTACAATGTGTGTACAGGTATCAACACTCCAATACTTGACCTGCTGAGCTCTTTCTTACAAATAATGGAAACCTACTGCATACATATCTTTGCAACTGCTCCTGGCTGAGAAAACAAAAGAACAAGCCTCTTTTGCTTACTCTCCAACATCACAGCTGTTATTTTCTCAGTTGGCTTGTACATATCTTTGTCTCTCGTACAGAGAACAAATCAGAAGTCACACATGAATATATTAGATAGGTTTCTTCATCTTGCTCTGCTTTGCAGGCTTCCTATCACCAGAAAGAACAAAGATGCTCCCTACTCCAGAATTTCTGCCATATAACAGATTTACAATCAATGGGACTACTTCCAAGCAAATAAGATCCAAGGTAGGCTCCAGAGGCCTATGAAAAATGATGGCTGGCCTAGCAACAGCTGCCCAATAGGGAGGTTATTCTCCAAATTTCACGCTCATGGAACAGAGGATAAAATACGAAGGGGAATCCCTGAAGAGATAGCAACAAGAGAAGGAAACAGTACAGAAAACCTTCAAGAAAGGATGTCAGAGTTGCAAGACTTTGTCAATTCATACACTGAATTATTTGACTTCTAAAGAATTGAGACAAATAAGATTACCCTTAATTACAACATTTTCCCAGGCCCCCATCTCCTATTCTTCAGCTTCCTGGCATTCAAGGGAAAGCACACGGGATTAAAATTCCCTTTGCATCATCCATGTCTATCAATCATAGGAACAGGGGCCTGTCTGCTCGTTTCCAGCCCATCTCCTCGCTCCCTTGGTGCCACCTCAGCCTGGCATCCTGCTCACAACACACCACACTGCCTTTGCTACTTCTTCAGTGCCTTCTTAGCTGGTTCCTTCCAGTTTTTGCTGATCCTGCCTAAGGCAGGGGAGAACTGGAGATGGGATGGACCACATGTCCTGTCCTCAGCTTATCTGATACAGGAAACCGAAGGGCACATGCAGGACAGACATGAGCACTGTAAGGAGGCAAGCTGACCTGTGCAGCAGTAGTCCAGTAATTTTAATTTATGTCATCTATTATATTGCTGTAAGCATAACCTGCACCTGATAGTCTCAGGATTATGTTGATCAACGTACACATAGCCAGCTATCATCCATCGACTCCCTGAACAACTCCAGCATTTTTGAGACAATTCAGATTAGCGATGTTGCAGGCTACCCAAAAGAAAAGGCAGTAAAGCTGAAGTCCCTGTGCACCCCATAAAACCAACGTTCCTTTGACAGGGATGCCAGAACCTGGGCTCTGTCTTACACAATTAATTACCAAGGAGACTTTCCAATCAGACCCAATACATGGACTCAGTAGAGGAGGGATGATCTGGGAACACCAGTGCTAGACACGTGGCAGATTACCAACACAGCCAGTTGGTCTCACTGACAGAGGAAATGAGTTATAGTTAACTCATCAGGTATGACACCAGAAAAGAGCGGTACAGAAAACTGGCAGAAGTTCACAATTTTTAAGCTTGCAAGAAAAACAGATGATTAATATATGCTTTGCCATTGATGTTTACAAATGTCTGACAAATCTAGTTATGCCACTTGCCTTTTCTGGTCTTATTCCAGTTTCTTTCTTCATCATCACTGACAACGCCCCTCTCATTAACCTAAGGAGCCTTTGACACCAATCTTTGATGTATTGTTGCTACTTGAAATAAATAACTAAATAGTATTTCCCATGCTGCATAATTCAAATTAACAAGTCACACATTCTTGATTTGTTTACAGGACTACTGAAATATTTAAGAGACAAGCACAGAGATAAAACATAGAGGGCTGGCTAAAGATCTGACTTTTTAAGGTCCTGACCTGCCTCAGGAAGTGCCAAGTTCTTTCTGACATCAGTATTTAAGTTGGGAGTACACCACCACAGCTCCTGGGCCATAACACAGTTGAGCTAGATGCTGTAACCAAAAACCAGAAAAAAAGCTGACTGCAGATGTATTAAATCCTTACTGAAACTTTTTATTTGTAATTCAAATTTCAAATAGCAGCACTGGATATGTAAAAAATTACTCAGCTAGATTTTCCTATCATGTAAAAACTACAAGTCCTATTTAAGCATTCTCATCAACTTCTTCCCCACATGAAACTCCTCTCTGATTGCCTCTCGATTCCTTAATTACAATTATGCACTTGCAGAGATACAAACATTTAACATAAAAGTATGTGTGCTACATATTATCATTATATTTAATACCTATTCATCAAAACCAAACCTATGATTGAAGAATTTCAAATAATATTACTGGCTATTGTAGCTTATGTATCTCTTTGATAGTGTAACATTCTCCGTTTATATTAAGTGAACACAACTAAATCCACCTTCCTCGTAAGTTTAACTGAAAGGTAATGAAGACCTTTCTGGACAATAAGCAGCTGAAAGTATACTAAAATGTAACTAAAACAAGAAGACAGACAGGTAACTATTTAATGGTATGCAGCACTTACACAGTTCTTTTTATATGTAGCATATTTACTCATAGAGAAGAACAGTCGTTTGTCCCATTTGAATATCAAACACACGCTTCTTTTTCAGTACACATTGTATAAAAGGCACTTCCAAGGAATTATAAATAATATCTCCTCTGCCCCAGCACAGATTTATACATGAAAGAAAGCTCAGTGAGATAAAATTAATATCACAAAGCATGCTCTTAAATCCAAATACCTTTTAAAGCCAAAAAGATATTAAAGGATTATAAAAGTGAGTTACCATATGATTCATTCTAAAAGGAAGTCTCTTCGCTACAAACTCCTTTTATATAAACAGCAGATAGTTGACTGGCTGGCTTTTCCATATGCCGCTATTTGTAGTCTAGGTAGGATTTCCATTGCTGAACTAAAGAGTGCCTTTTGAAAATAAGCGTACGCTCTGTCCTGGGCTAAGCTTTCAAAAAGCCGTCTTCCATATATCCTGGGGTTAAACTGCACAAATACAGCAGATATTTTAAAGGACAAATGGACTCTCTGAAGAATAGTTCTTCAAACACTGATCTTCAGACACAGCTTGATGTGAACGCTTGTGCAGAACTCACTTTCAAGTAAACACCTCACCATCTTTTGTTGTCATGACAACAAGCCATTTCACTCTCTATTCGGATGGCACAGATAATTCACAATCAAATTGCCCAATTATGTCCACCTTAAAATGAGAAAACACATGGAAGACACAACTGCAAAAAACAGTGTAATTGCCTTGGAGCAAGCCCCAGCGGGCACCTTATTCTTCCCTTCATGCCAGTAACTGCACTGGCTTCAGTGGAGATGCTCCTGACTTGTAGGACATGTAGGGTCTGATCCAGTTATCCATAGTCCAGTGCCATTTTGGGTGACCTTTCCCAGCTTTCAGCTGAGGTGGACACGAGTCTCATGCTGCTACCAGCCTCAGTGGATACCGCACATAATTTAGGGAGTCTTAAATGGCAGTAGGGGACCACATGTGCGCCGCTGACTGAAGCCTCTAGCGTCATTGCCACAGCCCAACACAATAATATATTAAGACCCCCAAAATCTACAAAACAACACTGCTGTGTGGCAATAACACCCTATTTCATATATACATAATCTAATCCTGCTTCTAGTCAAACCATGTTGCAAGAGGCCAAAAACCTAGCTAAAGGTGAGAACAAAAGTCTTTCCTGGGATTTCTAGGGGAGGCAGATAGTGAAACTGAAATACCACCACTGACTTCAATGATAAAACACTGGAAAGGAAAGAAAATGTACCATGATTGCCTCGAATTAAAGAAGAGCCTATAAATACAACTTCAGCAACCCATTTATCTTTTGAATGTCCACCTTCAGCTAAGACATTTGTGCTAGAAGAGGCTGAAGTAAAAAACACAGGAATTTAGAATGCTGTCCTCAGTGTGTGGGGTCATTGCCTTTCCCAATCAATGTTTCCACAAGTTTTTAATAAGTTTAAACACTGCAAGTGAAGCGGCCACAATGCTGAGCCACTTTTTAGGTTTACCCTCCCTTTCAGACTGCTGCTGAAGAATACACATGCTTCCTGACCCAGAAGCTTTCTTCTCTATCAGCCAGAGCTTTTCCAAACAGAAATTCACTTCCAGTAGCTCCTCTCCCAGTCTCTCCATTCAGGCTTTGTCACCACCTCAGATGTTTCAACTGAAGGAAGAACAGCACCTGAGGACACTCCAAATCACTGTGCACCTTTACAACAGCCTCCTAAGGAGACTTTTAAAAGCAAGTCAGCTGTTAAGTATCACTGCTCACTATCTCTGCTCTGCTTTCTACAATTTATTCATTTCATCCAAAAGCAACAACACGAAGTACACTCTAAATGAAATATTTTCTCTTTTTATTTTTTCCACAAGCACACTCATAAAGTTTTCTGACTGACAGGTCTGGAATCCACTTTCTATTTATTCACAGAAAATGTGCAAGATACTTCATGCGCACATAATTAATCTCTCTTCGCACTGGGATTGACCCAGAAGAGATGCTCTCAATACAGGAACATTTCTAACACCGCCCCATCACTCCTGGAGGCTGACACAATGATTTATAGCAACTAATAAAGGCCAAAGGCAAAGCACTCCACTTTGCTGGAGGCACAGGACTGACTGATGCCATCACTGAAAGCTGAAGAAATTTGGGAGGTTTTAACGTCCTTTCCAGTCTTGTCTTTGTCATACTGGACAACTCTACTATCTATATGATAGTTCAGCCTTGTAATCGGAGACTTTTCACACAATCCCAACTGTAGTTCCACTGCCTTCCCAATGTGAAATGCCACCTTTTCTCCTACAGCAT